TGATTTTCCATAAAAGTTATACGTTATAAAACTTAATATTTTTATGGAATTTTTATATCAAATTTTTTATTGGGCTTGGTATATGTAATAATTCAGATTGATAACAAATTACACAAATTCCATTATTTTTGTTTAACAATCTTCTTTTTTTAAAGCAATTATTACATATATTATAAATTTCATTTTCTGGTTCAATAATGAAACCTTTTACTAATGAAATTTGATTATATAAATTATTTTCATAAGAATCTTGTAATAAATTTTTATTTTCTACAACTTTTTGATACCAATAAAGCGATTTTCTAAATCTTTTTCTACATCACCAATTTTATAACAAGAAGCTAAATTAATCATTGCTTTAACATATTCAATCTCTGCAGCTTTTTTAAACCAATATAATGCATTTTCAACATTTACTTCTATTCTGTTACCATTTCTATAGCAAGAACCTAAATTATCATTGCCTCAATGTTTTCATTTTCTGCTGCTTTCTGATACCATTTGAATGAATTTTTTAAATTTACTTCTATTCCTTTACCACTCTCATAACATAATGCTAAATTAAACATTGCATCAACTACTCCGTTTTCTGCAGCTTTTTGATACCAATAAAATGCATTTTCTAAATTTAAATCTGTTCTGTTACCATCATTATAGCATAAAGCTAAATTATACATTGCATTAACTTCTCCATTTTCTGCTGCTTTTTGATACCAATGAAATGCCTTTTCTAAATTTTTTTCTGTTCCTTTACCACTATTATAACAAGAAGCTAAATTATACATTGCATTAACTTTTCCATTTTCTGCTGCTTTTTGATTCCAATAAAATGCCTTTTCTAAATTCACTTCTGTTCCTTTACCATCTTCACAACATAATGCTAAATTATACATAGCATCAACTTCTCCAATTTCTGCTGCTTTTTGATACTAATAAAATGCATTTTCTAAATTTTTTTCTGTTCCATTACCATCTTCACAACAAAATGCTAAATTATACATTGCATTAACTTCTCCATTTTTCGCTGCTTTTTGAAACCAATGAAATTCATTTTCTAAATTAAATCTGTTCCTTTACTATAATAATAGCAAGAAGCCAAAATTATACATTGCAAAAACTGCTCTATTTTCTGCTGCTTTTTGATACCAATGACATGCCTTTTCTAAATTTTTTTCTGTTACTATCTTCATAACATAATGCTAAATTAAACATTGCTTTAACTTCTCCATTTTCTGCAGCTTTTTGAAACCAATAAAATGCATTTTCTAAATTTATTTCTGTTCCTTCACCATGATAATAACATAAAGCTAAATTATACATTGCAATAACTACTCCATTTTCGGCTGCTTTTTGATACCAAAAAATTGCTTTTTTTAAATTCACTTCTGTTCCTTAACTGTTATAATATAAATCGCCAAATTTATATTGAGCATAAATACTTTTCTCTTTTGTTGCCTTTTTCATAAATGCCAAATCACTGTATATTTCAGTACTAAATAATAATTTTATCATAGAGAATCCTTCACTATTATTTTCTACTAAATCAAATATATTGTGTATATTGTAATAATATAAAATACCAAGAAAAAAAACATAATTTGATTCATGTTGATTTTCTTTAAGCTAGTTAAAGATATCATCTGTTGATCGAGTAGAAAGAGTAACGCATCTATTAATAAAATTCTTTGTTTCATTAAAACCTTTGCCTTCCTCTTGAATTTTATTTAAAAGAAAGAATATTTTGTAAATAAGAATATTGATATCGTCTGTTTTTGATATATAAATGCATTCTTCATGTTTTGCTTCTTCTTTTGTCATGTTGGGGATTTATGTTGAAAAAAAATTGTTTTATTCACTCAAAAATTTTTGAGTAATTTTTTTTTACTATCATTTATATCGAAAAATCGAATGCATTACTCGTATATAGAAAGAAAAGTACCATATTGGTTAGTGTTGTTGCATTGGCATAAATATGCAGATTTGTTGATTTTCAGTAACATCATTGAGGACCCCTGAATATTATCATTAGAACCTCCTCGTACAGATTTGGAAATTTTAAAAAAGTTCGACGGTTCTTATTGTACGATTATGGAAATTTAGCTAAAGTTAGAAGTACAGATTTCAGCCAATAAATGTTTACTTCCACTGTACAGATTTACAATAAATATTAACTTACGCGTACAAAATTTAGGTGTTAAAACTACTTTCTCGTACAGTTTAACAAATTTTAAACATATTTAGAATATTTGTAACATCTTTATTTTTTCTGGTAATCATGAATTCCGGTGAAAATAGCAATAGTTTAAACTTATCCAAAAATACATTGCAACAAAAAAAACTTGATTATTTTAGAATAACAGGTAATTTTGTTCAAGGAAAAGGTAAAGGAAAAAGCACTGCTTCTCATTTAGAAATTTTAAGTAAAAATGCTTCAACTAAAAGAAAAAAAGATGAAAATATAAAGTCCATGATAGCAGCCACTCTTTAAGAGCTCGAAGGCTTATCAGGACAAGTTTTATTAAGAAAGATTTTAGAGAACAAATTGTATACTTTATATGATGATAATAAGCATGTTTATTGTCAAAGTTGTCAAAAACTAATAACACTACAAATGATGGAGCTAGGTTAAAGGAACATATCATTACTCCAACGCATATCGGAAAATCCCAGGAAAGCAGATCAAAAAGAATGTGCTCCACTTTTTTGACATCCTTTTTTAATCGAACAAAGGATAATAATACGCTAGAAACAGATAATAATTTTATTGATTTGACTGAATCGGCTGATGATAATGATTATATTGTATTAATATCACAAAGAAATCAAAATCAAAAACTCTTGGAAATGACATCTAAAGATTCTAAACAATATGGTAAAGTATTCAATCTTGTTTATTTAGTAATCGTATTTATTGTTTAAACAAATAATCTTGCATTTTGTTGTATTTATACGGTAGTTTGTAATGGATTTTTCAGGTCTGAGTATGCTGTTTTTGCGAAATATGGTACTTCAATTCTTGATCAAAAGATCAAAGTTAAATACACGATTCTTCGAAATGATGATTTATATGATGGATTAAATCGTGCAGGAGGTTATTTTAATAGTATAAGATGCCTTGAGTATTGTTCCAAAAAAATGGTGTTATGAATGTAGCCTATTAGCAAAAAATGAAGCATTTAATAGAAGAAATTGAGAATATCAAGAATTGGTTGCTCAAATCGATTGTGCTATAATTTTGCTTACAAATGAAGAATTACCCAATTCAATTCATCGTAAATATAACCAGATACCTAGTTTCAATAAATGGATCAACAATTCTTTTAATGAACTTAATGCGCGTATAAAAAAGCAAGAAAACCATCCAAAAAAGTTTCGCTCTGATAATCTTGATAATTTCTACAAGAAGGAGATTTAGAATTCTAAATATCAACATTTGGTTAAGAATTATCCAAGATTGGGAATCCTTTTGGAAGAAGTAGAGGAACATGGAATCGAAAATTGGATGATAGACTGTACTCGATATATGGTAAATAAAACTATGGAAGAACAGCGACCTATATTTATAGGAGTAGCTCAATCAGTTATGAAAGTTCTAGATAAAATAGAACGTAATGTTACCACAATGCATGAAATTCAATATAATAAAACTTTTGTTAATTTTCTTGTGATTCTTATATCAATCAGTACTCTCGCTATAAGATGGATCACATTGAATCTTGCTGGACTAACAATAAGGTTTCTTCGGCAAATACGAAATAAAAGTAACGATTCTTTTGATCTTTTAGGAATTAACGTTTCAAATTTTGATGAATTAATTAACAAATGGTGAAATGCATATAATTATTTAGGACCAAC